AATATCGAGGTCAGTGTTAAGGCCTCCGCGGTGCTAGGGTGCTTTGTGGTGCCTTCTTAGACGTGTCACGCAGACGAAATGCTAGTGACGGCGTGCGGTAAGATGCATAGTGAGGCTCCGGCGGCTGAGTCTCAAGGTCTTTTTATGGTATAGGGGGCAAACAAGACGTAAGGATGTCTTAACAAAACCGTCACCTTCTTATTTCAGGCGCAGGTGCATTCAAAATATATCAGAAAAGTTGTGGTAGAGAAATTTCTACAAAAAATTTGAGTTATCACGATCACACATTTAGTAGATCAACTACTTGATATTAATAATATAGTCTGGGTAATACAGAGATGCGGCAGGCGCCGATGAGATGCTTGCCTAGGGCTCTTGATCCTTAATCTGCCTATGACCTCTGGTGACAATTTGTTTCACAAATTGGTTGTGTAAGGCAAAACGTAGAGAACTGTGTCAAAATTTAAGTGGAACGGTAATTTTGATACCCGTAAAGTAGGCTTAGTAGACTTACACACTGTTAGAAGATCACTCTTACTTTAGCTTCTAGCTTGAAGATAGTTTGTTTATTTCTAACTGGATCACATCAAATATTTAATTAAAAACCTGTTACAATACTACTACAGTATGACATAATAAAGATTGACAATAGTCATATTGTACAAGCCTAAATCATTTATATGCCTAGATGGAGTGTCGCATAACGAAAAAACTAAAACAGACCAACAAACTTTATTATGCTGAACTATGTGCAAGTCAAGAGTTCAAGAGTGATAGTGACAAGGCAGCTGACAAAGCAACAGCAGAAAGGATTAGTGGCCAACAGTTGGCCACTATTTCTTTTTTTAAATCTTTTACAGCTTTAACAGTCTATCTAGACATTTTAATGAACTAAGTTCATGAGTTAAATTCTCTAGAATATTTGGTGACTAACTAAAGAAGTTTCTAACTGTAAATATTGTAGAAAATATGTGAAAAATAAGAGTAGGTAAATATGAAAATATACAAGTTATTTTATCTAATGAATAACAAAAACTAAACTCATCCTTAACCTAAAATATTTAAAACTAGAATATTTTTCTAAATAATCATAACTTTTTGTGAATCCGGGCTAAATGACTTGTCAAAGATTCCTCAGCTTTGAACTTCAGAGAGCACAGATCACATTGAAACGTGACATTCTTGAATGTGTGTTTATTTTTTATATGTTTAGCTAAACCTTCCTTGTTAACAAACTTTTTCTGACATTTGAAACAAGAGTTCTCTTGTAATAACTGCTTTAGTTTTAAATGGCGCCGTAAACAATACCTGGATTTAAAAGTGATGGCGCAAGACTCGCACTTGGACTTGCTCTTGATTTGGTGATGAGACTGACAGTGTAGATCCAAATTACTCTTCTTATTAAAAACAATTTGACAATCGTTGCATTCAAATGTAGCCGCTTTTTGTTGTAATTCGTGATTTGAAGTCATGTGGCGAAAATACTGGCTGTTTTGTGTGAACTTGAGACGACAATATTGACAGGAATAGATGTATTTTCTATCGTCGATAACTCCCGTTGCTTCCTCGTTTTTTTTAATTTTCAACGCTGGCCTCGTGATCCTGATCCGGGGACCAGTTCTTACAGGTTTCTTGTTCATAACTTTGTTGATTAATACGTTTTCATAACACAATTTATGAACTTATTAATAAATTTTCGACACAACACGTATGCAATCTGTAATACACTTGTCACAGTTTACACTATTGAAAGTATTCCACGGTTGTGTCAGTAGGGAAACTTGCTTTAGATTGTTTGAAACAACTTTTGCTTGAAACTTGTGATATACAAATAAATATTTGATTTTTAATGTATTATTTCATAAATTCAATGTAACCACAATTTCGTACGTCAAATTATAAGTTTGGAGTGCGTTTTGAAGCTTCATAGCGCCCGACTTTCACTTTGTTTGTTTAATTCAACATCATTAATTAACAGTATTGCTATATAATCTTAACTATAGATTTACACAAATTATTAATTATTATTAAGAAATATACCTAGAGATATATTGGCAACGAAAATAACATAATAATATTAATAAAAGGTTTGTCTTCCATGCTTCTGACAAAATAAAACCATTTTGTTTAAGCTTCTGAACGGTTCGCCATTTGGTACATTTTCCTGCTTAAAATCATGATTATTGTTTATTTGTTTTTGTTTTTATTGAAATTAGAATCTATAAATGCGAGTAGACAACTATCTTCTTCGATAAGATATATGATACGACCACTTTTGTATCGATTCATTAGCTACCCAAGTTAAAACAACTATTCAGTGCCGTTTTATTACAATTATAGTGTTAAGTCGACCCAGATATTTATAAATAATGTTTTTCTTTAAATTTTAAACGTACTTATTATTCAATGGCACATGATTAATTTTTAAATAATACTTTTCAATCCCTTACGCGAAAACGAAGGATGTCATAAGAATAATAGATACACGTTTTTTAAGTTCTTAGCTTTAATTCCGCGACATGCCGACAAATGCAACAAATGTATTCTACATTAGCAACCAAGCGCTGCAATATACAGTGTGGTGATGAGAGATATGAGAAAGTATCAGATTTCCGAAGATTTTAATGCAAAATTTCAACTATTAACACTAATAAAATTTGTTAATTTTTAAGAAATTTGTTTTTATGTTGATTTTTCTGTTTGATTAATAAAAATAAAAGAAAATTTATCCATGTGATGACGGATTAAGAATACGGTGTGTCACCACCCCTTTTTTTTTTTTTTTCCGTGCGGAAATCCCCTCGGATACCACCTGTCGGTGGCATGTCGGACTCGAACCGACTAAAACCGCACGCCGTCTCGGGTACTAATAGCCGGGGAACCAGGTATACCCTAGAAAGGAAGTACCTGGTGCAGTGTCACCACCCCTATTTATTCCGCGAGTGTCGTAAGAGCCGACTAAGGAAGCAAACTACACAGGGCAAATGCATTGCAAAGAGAAGGAAAATTTGACACAAACGCTATACCAATCCGTCTAGTCAGCGTGGTATTGTAAGCCGAAACCTCCCGATATAGAGAGTAGATGTAGAGATAGGGTTAAGGGGGTTAAATGAAATTTTGTATAGAGATAGTTTGAGTTGTTGAGTTGTGGGGAAGGACATAGAATAGTTTTTATAATCTTAAACATCCCATAAGGGTGTAAAATGTTTCATGGCTAAACCGTTGAACCGATTTTAATGAAATTTGGCATAGAGATAGTTTGATTTGAGGAAGGACTTAGGCTGTTTAGCCACGAGCAAAAGCTAGTTTATAATAAAGGTATGGAAGTGTGGACGTAAAGAAAAGTTGGAAGTCAATTTTATCTTACTCCTAACTTTTGTATCGAAATAAAACTGTATGTATATGTCGGTGTAGTATGTACGAGTAGGTACTTTGGATGACGCTGATGATGGATGATGAAGCCTGGACAATCAGACAGTGGAACTCTTCAGTGGTAAGCTTAAGCTTAAAGTCAGTAAGCTCATCACACCACATAGGCCTCTCCTTAGAAATGAGGCTTTGGCCTACTATACCACGCTAGCCGCTGGGTTGGTATAGAGTTTGCGTCAAGTAAGCTTATATTATGCTTCATTTTGTAGATTCAAACCATTTTCTTTGGTGTCTTGGCAATCGTGGTCTGATGGAAAAACCAAAAATGTTGATAAATTATTTCGGTTTGCATTTGAAGAGTTTTTTTTTACTTAACTACAATGTAGGTATTATTAATGTCATATTATTCTATCTATACGAATATTTATAATATATTAGACACTTATCCGAATCAAAGAACAATGGAATCTCGTAATATTGATTTTTTGATACAATTATCAAAGTTACATAATCTTTCTTACACAGATGATCACAGATAATATAGACGGAGAAATTCGTTACGAAACAATAACAAATATAGATAAAATATTTTGTTATTGTCACGTACACTTTTGGCGCCTTTTATTTAGAGATCGTCGGAAAAAATAATTTTATTAATAAAATCATATACGGTTAACGTATTTATATTATGACCCTCATGGTCATAATTTATAAGGCATGTAAATAGGCGCAAATTGTAGTAATAGGGATAAAGATAATGTCATACCTATGTTTCATGAATGAAGTGTAGAGGCAAGGAGAACCATCTCATATAGGGGGAAAGTTGAAAAAGTTTCCAGCTGCAGGAAAACTGTCGGTATACTGTAAAATAGAGGTCGCTGGTGTACAAAAACTACGATATGAACATAGCTGTTGTAGACGGAGTGAAGTATGCTCAGTTAAAATATTATTATACTTTTGGAACGATGTATCATAAAGGGCGTTACACGCTCGAACCGGATTGGAGCGAGACCGAAAAAGTGTAACAAGCCTTTTTTCCAACACTTCATGTCCCAGATCATTGAGAGTTTTATTCATAATACACATAATAAATATATATTTTTTTATAAATTATTCAATTAAAATAATAACTTGATATTTTATTATAAAAATTTAAATAATTGCATAGCAAACGTCTACAAAAAAGTTTAAGTTTAAATTTAAGTTCGTCACGTAGTTTTTATTGTCTTAAAGTTATTACACGTTAGTTGACTATTTTCGCAGTCTAATTCACAGTGTCTCAATTATTATTTAAGCCACTCTTATTGGACGCTTTTTTAGGAATACTTCATCACAGAGATGGTTCTCCTTGCCCTCCATAGTTTCATGGCATAGAGAAATAAAAAATAAATACAGATAATATTTCGATTTTCGCAAACAGGTAGAGCGTTCTCGAAATGTATGCCTATGTTTGATATCTGCAAAATTATATGAATGAGATATACGGAACCATACTAGTTAAATAGAGACTACGCCATACGATAACTTTCAAACATTGATTAAAAATGTTGTAATGATTAAATATAAAAGCCACCATTAAATAAACAAAATGTTCAATAATTTCATAGTATAATTTATTCGAGGCGGAGGCAATGGGCTTATTCGGCCTAGCAGTCAACCTTGTTGTTTTTTTAACAGTTTTTAGTCAAGTGTGTTGCAATGAACAGACTAAAGTTGTGGAAACTAAGCAGGGAAAAGTAGAAGGTTATTTGGCGCCAAATGGACTTTTTTATGAATTTTGTGGCATTCGATATGGCATTGTAAAGAATAGATATATGGTATGTTTTTTTTAATTATCTACAAAGGAGGTGGGACCAACTATTTCCATCATGTACTGAAGAAATATTTTTTCCACAAAAACCAAATTGAGATTTTCATAGATGACCTATGTTTTTTATGTTAAAATATTTCAAATTTTATATGACTTCAACAACAACATTCCTATTTTTTTTAACTATATCAGTTGATTTTTAGACTATATAGAGAGAACGTAGTGAGTTACCCTAAAACAACATATGAATTTATCATTTCATGCCTTTTTGACAGTTACATTTAGTTTTTCTTTTTTAACAGACATTTTTGATGACGGCTTCTAACACACTAAGAGATGCTCGCTACAAAATATTTTAAATACCTACTCCTATAGTATAATTTTAAACTGCGCTTCTCTTTCAGGCGCCAGAAGAACCTCCTTCATACGAAGGCATCTACAACGCCAATAACAGAGCAGTCTTATGTCCTCAATTTCCCGCCAACGACCCATTAGCTGCACCAAGTGACAATGAAGACTGTCTCATATTAAACGTCTTCGTGCCAAGTTTCACTAACACCACGTTACCAGTGATGATATTCCTCCACGGGGGAGACTTTGGCGTTGGTAGCAGCTCCCCCTACTTTTATGGTCCCCATTACTTGGTCAGCCACGGAGTCATAGTAGTTTCTGTTAACTATAGGCTTAATGCCCTAGGTTTCCTCAATTTAGGGCTCAAAGAAGCCCCAGGGAATGCAGGTTTGAAGGATATCAGAGCAGCATTGAAATGGGTTAAAAATAACATTCCAAATTTCGGTGGTGATGAAGAGAATATTACAGTTTTTGGACACGGAAGTGGAGGAGCTGCAGCAATATACCTGACTCTCTCTGAGTCTTGTAGAGGTTTATTCAATAGAATCATATCTGAGAGTGGAACTCTGTTCACCCCTAAAACGTTCGATGCTAATCCTATATCAACAGCTTCACAAGTGGCTAAATCACTCGGCGTCAACACTTTAAACACCGAAGAACTTATTAATATATATAAGGCCGTGCCCATTGATAAATTGGAAGAAGCAATTGGAAACCAAATGAACGCAAAATCTGTATTTCTTCCATCGATAGAAGACTATTATGACGACGAACCGTTCTTAACTGATACACCTTATAACATTTTACTATCGAAAGCCTTTAATCCAGTGCCGGCCATATTTGGTTTGAACACCGTCGAAGGCCTGGCTACAACACTTGACTATTATACAATAACTAGCCAAATGGATAGAATAAAGAATGAAGATTTCTCGTGTATTGATCAGAAGTGTTTCAACGTATCTCAAGCGAAGAAGAAAGAAATTAGAACCATTTTAAGAGACACTTACTTCTCTAATATCACTGATGATGAAACGGTCATCGGAGGTTTAATAAATCTGAATTCGGATTTCTGTTTTGTAGGTCCAATGTCTTTATTCGTTGAAATGTATTGCAACAAATCTGATACAAATGTTTATCAATACATTTTCAACTACATAGGTAACAGGAATTTGGGAAGGCTTTTGACAAATACTACTTTACCTGCTACAACATATATGGACGATCTGTTTTATGTGTTTGAGCTGGAAAGGTTGCCATTGCCGATGAACGAGAATGACGCGAGAATTGTCACTTTTATGACGATGATGTGGACCAATTTAGCTAAATATGGGTAAGTTATTTAGCCGTTGCTTGTAGTTTCATATTATTTTGACGAGTGAAGAACCCATCACCGGGTTGGTGACCAGTATCGAATCGACTAAAATCACAGTGTTGTAACTCTTCTTTGCAATCTATGGTACGTCTTATCTTTATATATATAATTCTTCTGTGAGTGTGTATGTCACTGAACTTCTCTCAAACGACTGGACCGATTTTGAAGAAATTTTTTGTGTGCGTTCAAGGGGATCTGGGAATGGTTTAGATTCACAATTTTGAATGGTAAGGGTGACCCATCCCTAATTTTTTTTTTGTTGCAATACAACGTTTGCCGGATCAGCTAGTACTTATATAAAATTCTCGTGTCACAATGTTCGTTCCCGTACTACTCCGAAACGGCTTGACCGATTCTCATGAAATTTTGTGTACACATCGGGTAGGTCTGAGAATCGGCCAACATCTATTTTTCATACCCCTAAATGGTAAGGGTGACCCATCCCTAATTTTTTTTTGTTTTGCAATACAACGTTTGCCGGGTCAGCTAGTTTTAAATGTTTTTATGAGATGGAATAAAGATACAGCTCTGAGTGTTCCAATCCATGCCTAATCAGTTTTCCCCGAGCTTTTCGCTGACTCTTTCAGTTTAAAGAAAATTTGAAGAAGTTTCCAGGGAAATATTAAGAGCCAGTAACAATAAGGTAGAAGTTAAAAAAAAAGATTTAAGTAATCCAATGAATACTATTTTGTATACAGATCTCCAACTCCGGATGCAGATAATGGCGAATGGATGCCATATCCTCACCAGCTAGCAATCACTTTAGAACCCCAATACGTGGCTCCATTGACACCAGAAAGAGCGTACTTCTGGCGCACTTTGTACAAAAAATATGGCGCCGAAATTGAGCGGGAAAATGACGAAGACGATTGACATTGACAGTTGTGTATCTGTAGTCAATGGTTGTTAAGATATTTATAAAATTATTTATAATCGTAAATTATGATAATGTTAATAAATAAATAATGGAATTGCTATTCTTTCATTTAGTTTTTAATTTCTTGATAACAAGGTTTAAAACAAGACACAGTGGGCAAGTCATGCTTTTGTATAGGTATATAGGCAGGTTCGACAGGAACGGTACGCAGCCAAAACAATTCGCCAATTCACAACGAGTTACCTTTCTGGGACAGGTAACCAAAGGATGGCAATATATTTATGACTCTTGACTTACAAGTGTCTATGGCCCACGTTAGTAACTGCTCGTGTTCCCCTCGTGTCTAAAAAAACTGATTTGAACTAAATCTATGGGTATTAGAAAAAAAAAATTACACATTACAATTTTATTAAAAAATCTACGAAATTGTCTTCAATACAATATAACAACAATTTTATTGTGCGAATCTTACATCATTCTACAATTTATATAAAAAAATGCGCTTTTAATACTTATGCATGTTATGAGTTTACAATAAAATTATAAGCACATTGATAGAATTTTGACTATCACGTAAGTAAGTAACTAACAGTGATCACTGTTCCATCTCCGAGGGTCATAGCGCGTTACTACATAGTTTATAACACACAGAATTATATTCTTAATCAATATTTCAACCAATAAAAGAAAAATAAATGAATCCGACTTAAATAAGAGTTCAACGTTTAACAAGTACTTAAGTATACTAGCAATTTAAATCGGAACTATTTTCTGAAGCAGCACCAGAAATAAATGAAAACAATAGGTTTAAGATTAACTATTATTAGTCATTTATATAAATAACAACTATTAGAAACAAATAAGGGCAAGGCTACCAAATTATTACTAATAAATAAAAATATCCGTGTGGTGACGGATCAAGAATACGGAGTTTCACCACTATTCATCCCGTGGGTGTCGTAAGAGTCGACTAAGGGAGCAAACTACGCAGGATAACAGCTCTGCAAAGAGAAGGAAAACTTGACACAAACCCTATACAAACCCGTATGGCCAGCGTGGTATAGTAGGCCAAAACCTCCTTTCTAAAGAGAGGCCTATGTCCAGCAGTAGACTATTAAAGGCTGTTGATGTAAAAAGTATTCCTGTTCGTAGTTCAATTTAATATTTAAGTCAATACAAAAAGCCTTTCGTATGTAATTATCAATAAGTATATTTATAAAATCTTGAAATTCAATAACCAAGGCAAGAAAATACACGCTAGATTCTTTACTTGAGTCTTCAATACAATATATTAGACTTACAAATAGACACTTAGAAATTCTTAAACAGTATAAAGTATTGTATATCTAGTTAAACTGACTGAGTAGATATTATAGAAGTACTCGTAAAAGTTAAAAGAATATCTAATATCCGTTCTCGACACATATATTTTTATATTAGTTAATACATGACAATAATAAAAACTTGAAAAATCTCACACACGGCCGTCTGAAATTAGACAAAGTCTGTACTCTGATAACCAGACTACTGATAAACATACTTATATATTACTAAAAACATAATTATTATATATTAATTACACCCAAATACAGAACAAATGTTCGTGCTTTTGCGTTATAAATAGATATCAATGTAATTTAAAAAATCTTCTAATTTTTAATTAATCTTATAACCTACAAATTGTTTTACAATATAAAACCTTATAAGTTAGTTTTTTTTACAATACAATCTTTCGAGATTACTTAACATCGGACATTACCAAAGGCTCCATAACAATATCACGTCTTTCAATCAATATCAAAATGGTGAAACATTATTTTTTTCGACACTCCAAAAGCCCAACATCCAAACTTCAAGCCATAGACAACATTTTAACGCAAAGGCAATAATTCGTACAGCCTTCAACTAGAGCTGTCACTGTCACTCTCACTGGAGTCGTATTTCTTCTTTTTCTTCTTTTCCTTATGCCTATCTTCTTTTTTGTCTCTTCTAGGACTACGCTTGGGGCTGTCGCGTCGAATACGATGATGTCAAATACCCGAATCATCTGTTGTATGGTGGGCATTGTTCAAAGATTCTTCTGAACTGTCCGACTTTTGTTTCTTCTTACTGTTGAGAGAATAAAAATAAAAACAATGTTTATTTTATCACCACAATACAGTGAAAGTAAATTGTCATTGATATTGGTGTTACATAAATTTAGTTAAGTTACATGTACCGTGGAAGACTAAGCCAGGCTAGACGAAGAGTCTGTATTTTAGGACCAGACACAAATCAGAAAAAATGTATTCAAAATAAGTATTAAAACAATTCACGAAAAATCTCATGCATTGTGTATGAAATAAAAGACAAATGAAGACCAGAGTTCTTTCGCTCGGTAACATGATTGCGGCCATGGTGCGGAGCGAAAGTGCGTGGAACTTCGCTGTCTCCTTCTGCGAGTTATGCTTACGAAGTTATGCTTGCCAAGGAGGTGGCAGAGCGGGACCGGGAGAGGTTTAGAACTCTCCCGGGCCGCCAGGTTCGAGAACTGGCCAGATACCGCAGATGACTCAGGCGCCGGAGGTTGCAGAGCGACCTCCGTTCTCCAAATGCGCAGGCCAGGGAGTGACAGGTGACGCCATCTGTCACCCGCAAAGCAACCCGGAACGCAAAGCGAACATGGGGGTTCCTACATAGAAGGGGATTTTCTCCATATGAGAGGGAGAGTGGGGAGGGGATTTCCGTTCTAGTGTACATTTGGTTAACCACCGGTGGGTGGTATCCGAGGCGATTTCCACACAGAAAAAAAGGGAAGTTGTTAGTAATTTAAATTACTTGATATCCGTATGTCTTATTTATCAAAGTTTCAAAAAAGTCTCCATTCTTCCTAATTCTTCTTAAACTCACCCTCTCTTCTTCTCATTTTCAGTCGACACTTGATCTTGGAATATTTTGTTTAACTCTAGTTCCTTTATTTCGTCTGAGTTTGTTAGAATTATTGCTCTGAAACAATAACACAAAATTATTAATATTTTAAATGCGAGAGTAACTCTTTCTGTCTGTCTGTTACGCTTTCACGGCTAAACCGCTCAATCGATTTTGATGAAATTTAGCATTTACTTTCTTACTTTTTACAATGGGCTGAGCAAAAGGCAAAGGCTGATAATAATATAATAACTTGAGACAGTCCACTGCTGCTAATTTGTTGTTGTATGATCTTACATTAAACCTATGCTTGATTCAACTGTGACTGCACGGATGGCGGAGTGGTGGTTTCATCGGCCGCCACGCCGCTCACTACTACGCTGAGTGCTGTGGGTCCGATCCCCACATGGAACGACACTTTGTGTGATCCAAAAATTGTTGTTCTGAGTCTGGGTGTTCTTTGTGTCCGTTTCGTGTATGTTCCTAATGCGGGAGTTGTCTTTCTTAAAAATAAATAAAAAGACAAACTTTTTTTTTACGTGTGGAAACCACTTCGAGGAGTAACCTCACTGAAGTTTGCAGTGGGGCAGTATATTACAATCGAACCGACTAAAACCACAGGGTGTACCACTCAACGCCTTAATTTTTTTAATAATTTAAACTTCAGGAACCCTCCGTCCGCATGTGTTTAACTCTACAATGTTAAGAAGATCAAATTAATTTGACATAAATTGAATATGTAAAATGCCTCTGCATACCCTTTGACGCCCGCCACGTAAGAATTCCCAGTACACCTATATTTGTTGTGATATTTAGCAAACCTTATTAAGAATGACGTCACTACCCATTTTATCAACTTATCATTTAATATTTTCATTATATTAACAATAGGAAAGCTATACAAATCAAAACGTAATCTCACCCCTATTCCAACAAAAAGGTAGGTGGCCACAGATAGATAGTGCCATCGTTTGCCGCACCCTATAGTGATGGGACAGGTGAATCGATGTCGATAAACTGATTTTTATAATAGTCCGGCATTGATCGATTGCTCATGTAACCTAAGGATTTATATAGCAGGCTTGCTTGCAAGGTTATGATTTTTACATATGAGATATTAATTTATTTATTAGAGATTTTTAGAGGTTCATAGATTATGACTTTATTCATCAATTCGTTTAGTAATTAAGTATGATAATAGTTTCATTTTAGTATATTTTATATATCCCTGATAATGTGTGCAAAATGGCATGATCGGTTAAGTATTAAGGGTGTGAAAGTGTAACAAATAAACAAATTAACTTTTACATAATTAAATATAACTCTGTAAAGTTTAGTTTTTTTAAATAGTATCCCCATCGGGTATACCTCAGCGAACATTTGGAAAAGTGGTGCTATTGAAAACCGTAGGTACGGTGTTCTATCACTGGTCTCCATAGCCATAGACTCATGTGTAACCTAGAAAGGAATTTTCTGGATCCGCTGCAAACTACCTGAAATCTTACAGGGGTTAGTGTCCTCCATGCATTCAAAAGTGCTTGTGAAACATGTCACCCCACCATCTTAGTCTTATCTACTTTTGTTTCGGTCCTAGTTTGCTATGATTTTATAACAAATAAATATTTAAACTAATAAAAATAAATGAAGTTAACTACTTGTATTGAAGTAGTATTAAGTTAGATAGCCATGGTTTTACCTGCGACTTTTAATTACCAGTAATTTAGCTTAAAAAAGAAACAAATTCCTATTTAAAAATATATGGGGAAAGTGACATGTCACGACACGGGTCATAGGCGCGAGTTCGACTAGTATAGCTGAATTTTATTTCAAAATTGCTTGTTTATATGTTTGGCGACAATACCAAATTATTTAGACAGGAATTTACATTAATGTCATAAGGGGAAAAAGAAAACAAAACTGTCTTCCTCATCAAGTTTAATAAGACAAGAAAAGAATACCACTAACATATCTGATCTAATATCTCTTTGCTACTTTACTATCTTTAATAAATCTATGGCTAAAAAACTCGATAAAAATAAATTTATTTTATCGACATCAACCCCATCACTAAAGGTTGATCCAAACCCGTTCATGTCAAGGCGAATCGACCTTCTACCCCTACACAATAGACGGCTATAGAAACTGTTTGTATACTGCTAATGTTACAATCTGCGAAGGGTCAAGCGTTTTGTTTGTCAGAATTGTTCGCGAGTTTTATAAAGACTTAATGCTTTTAGAAAGGCTTTCAAGTTCGTTTACATAAGACATTGAAAGATTATTTGATTGGAATTAGAAACAATATGGCGTATTTAGACATTACATATGACGTGTCAGATTTACCGCTTAAACTCAGGCTTTTGACAAATGAAGTTACATTGTTTTTTTGTTTTGTCATCTTAGGTTGTTATCACTGAGCAATGAAACCTCTTTATTCAAATTAAAAGAAAATCATTTTTTTTTCTAATTAGGTACCTAAAATGGTTAACAGTTCTACATAAGGTTTTTGTTATGTGGGTGATTTTTCGATCTTTCGAGTAATTATTTGCAACACTATGTCTTTACCAACGGTAAATCGTTAGTTAAATCTGTTTCATTTCACATGATTGATTTAAATATATATATATTTTTGCATAATAAGCCCACTCACGTAATAAGAGGTGGTAGAGTTTCCATCCGTGAATGTGTGATGACAGATTAAGAATACGGAATGTCACCACCCCTACTCATCCCGTGATGTCGTTATAGCCTACTCAGTGAGCAAACTACGTAGGACAACAGGATTGCAAAGAGAAGGAAAACTTGAAACAAACCTTATATCAACCTGTTTGGCCAGCGTCGTCTAGTAGGTCAAAAACTCCTTTCTAAGGAGAAGCCTATGTTCAGCAGTGGACTATTAAAGGCTGTTGATGTGATTGATGAATGATTCCCACACGAGATGAAAGAAGAAGATAAATTGGTGGACTGTGAGTCTCAGATGGGAGAAATAGTTGAGACCGCAGTACCTTGAAGAGTTTGGGGTCGCGTATCACTAGGTCTGCTCCATAATTGGAGGAGATAAGAGAATGTACCGACGCACGAACAGTTGAAAAGTAAATCATAGGAAAACTTTGACGACTGGATGGCGTAGTGGTTTGTGTAACGGACTGCTATTCTAAAGGTCGCGGGTTCAATTCCCGCTCAAGTCAAACATTTGTGTGCATGATCATTTGATGTTTGATTTGGTCTGGGTGTTTCTATGTAAAATATGTATGTTTTACAAAAAAAAAGTATATATGTATTTATATCAGTTTTCTAGTACCCATAGTACAAGCTTTGCTTAGTTTGGGACTAGATGGCGTTGTGTGTATGTGGTAAAAAAAAAAACTAACCTGATCCTGCCACCATCATGACGGTCGTGTCTTCGATCGCTGATCACAGAGATAGATGTTTCGCCAATCTCATGTTTCTTCTTGTGCTTCCTCGAATTGTGTTTCCTACAAATAAAAGCTTTGGTTGTCACTGCTTATCACTTATCACTTTTACAATTTTTTTCTGTCTGTCTGTTTGTTCCGGGTAATCTCTGGAACGGCTGGACCGATTTCAACGGTACTTTGACTGGCAGATAGCTAATGACATAAGGAGTAACTTAGGCTACTTTTTTTAGACTAGCTTCGCCGTTATAACAACAAACGCGGGTAACACCGCAGGTCTCAGCTAGTGACAAATAAGAACTTGACTGCACGGATGGCGTAGTGGTTTAAGCGGTCGCAACGCCGCTACGACGCTGAGTGTAGTGGTCAAACCCCACATGGGACGACACTTTATGTGATCCACAAATTGTTGTTCTGAGTCTGGGTGTTCTTTGTGGCCGTTTCATGTATATTTGTAAAGTCCTTATGATATATTCATAATGCGGGAGTTGTCTAAAAGAATAAAAGAAAACAAGAACAAACCTAACGCGAAATATACATAGATGAAAACAACCTTTGAAGCGGATTGAGCTCAATTGGCGCAGAGCTTTTTGTGTTTTCGAAACGTACACAAACCAACTTAACATTATTATGTATTTAGATTTTATTTTAGGCCCTGATTCGTCATAATTTTGCCTAATTCCAATATTATTTAATGTCGATGAAATTTACGTATTTGTTTTGTAGTCGGAATAGTAAATCAATATCAGTGCGCTATGCATTTAGAATCGACTACACGAAGATGCTAGCTACAGTTTAAGAGATAACTGTTCAGATGGCTTGTTGACAGACGCTTTTACTCTGTCAACTAATATATAAATTACTAGCTGCCCGGCCCAGCTTCGTACAGTTGTTAAACCATTTAAAAAAGAAAGACGTGTGGCACTCGGCGACTGCCGCGGTAAAGCTATTGCATAGCGTTTTTTATCAACTTATGCAATTATAATTATTTGTTTATTTTATTGATGCAGTATTTTTTTTCCTTTGTTTTTTTTCTTTGATATTAATTCAAGTTACACTTTTTGAGCGTGGTGACCGATAAGAAAACAATTTTTTTTCTTTAATTAAATAAATGAGAAGTTAATATTGTTCAAAATATTTTTATTATCTTACAATACATGACGGTTATTCAGGAATATTTATTATTGAAACTATAGGTTTATGGTAACTGAAATAAGAAACATAAGTTTGAGACTTGATATCTTCTAAATATCTGGAAAATACCGCGTCACAACCAATGCCACCTAGAGGCGAGTTGCTGAACTAAAGAGACAAGCGTGATATTTCAAAAAAGTCATTAAAAGTTCTGCTATTCATCGATAGATAGCAAAACTAAAAACTATCACCGCTGTGCCGGTCGGAGTGGCGGGTGTTAGGTTATTTTCGTTACGGAATTTCTGGATTCGGTCTCCACGCTCAAGCCCGCGATAGAAGCTATGCAATAGCTTAAAAGGACATTTGGTGCAATCGTTCTGAATACGCGTACAGTACTACATTACGGCGATTCATTTGTATGTAGAAAGATAGATTAGGTAGGCATAATACATTCGTGTCTGTGAAACCATGGAGATACATATTAGTTTAGTAGTTCGAAACCATTCGGTTCGAAACCATCGAAATACCCATATGAAATTTCAATCCAATTGGTTCAGCCGTTTAATAGTTATGTGAAAAAGATTAGTACGAAATGATAATTCTTACTACCCGTAATCCTATTACCCGTTTTCCCGTAGGAATGAAACAATTTCCGGTGGTAAAAAGTAGCCTATGTTAATCAGGGATAATGTCGGCTTCTAATATTAAAATAATTTTTCAAATCGGTCCAGTAGTTCTAGAGCATATTCAATACAAACAAACCAACAAATCTTTCCTCTTTATGATATTAGTGAAGAAAAATACAAATAATATTATTTATTGATCTGTTGATTGATTTATGCAATTAGATAAATGGGAAACCCATGTCAATTTTGTGTCTTTCTCTTTTTTTAAAAACTTACTTGTGTTTCTTCTCTTTCTCCTTCCGTTCACTAGATTTATGTTTATGTTTCTTTCGGTACACAGAGCCACCGTCACCTTCGTCCACTGACTCCAAATGAAGGACGTAGAGACGGTATATCTGGAGTAGGATTACCTGAACAGGAAAAACAAATATATTATTTGCAAAATTCTTTCGGGTCAGGGACCATAGAGTATATTATAAAAAAATAATTTTTTTTTTGTCTAGTTTATGCCTTGAGAGTTTATTTGAATTAAGTGAATGAAGGATTATCCTATCGTCTTAATTCAGCCTTTATCCCGTCTGAAAACGTAATTACATTCATAAAGTTTATAAATTTTAATCGACTCTAAATTAGGATTAGTAGAAAAACAGGAAGTACATGAAGAAATGATTTCTGTAATAATATACTGGAGTGATTTGGTACATCTCTAAGATCGTAGTAGGTTTGGTTGATTGATTTAGATTTCTTAAAGTCAACCAAAACAGGTTATTTGTACCGATTAAAATTTTCATGTCCGTGTGGTGACGGATTAAGCTCCGTGTGGTGACGGATTAAAAATTCAGAGTGTTACCACCCCTATTCATCCCTTAGGTGTCGTAAGAGCCGACTAAGAGAAAAAAACTACCCAGAACAACAGCAGTGCAGAGAGAAGGAAAACTTGACACAAACACTATACCAACCCATCTGGCCAGCGTGGTATAGTAGGCCAAAACCTCCTTTCTAAGGAGAGGCTTATGTCTATTAATAACTCTTGACGTGATGATGAAAATTTTCATATTTAGAAACCACTATATAGTCCATTTGCGTTAAGAAAATAGTAACGCATCGATCAAGCCCCGCCCCTGACGAATTAGGTTCCAAAAAATTATCGTTTCTTACGATGTGTCACTATTTTCTGAAAGCACTCGCTTACTATAGGTTTCACCAGGCGGGAGATTTTACCAGCAACTGTTACTCACCAGCGTGTTCTTACACGTGAAGAATATATTCATATAGTTGATGATCCTATAGTGACAGATGATGAGGAGTCTGAAGGCCAGGAACGGGGCGTCTTGAAGGGCGATGTTCATCATGATGGCACAGACTTCGATGCTGCAGCAGCAAGCCCTGCTGTTCCTGTGGAGGGACAGAAATCATTTTGTTAGCCCTCAGAAGAAAGGGCTAAAATTTAGTAGGGGCATGTCTTGAACACAATAAATAAATTAACTATTTTTGAGAATATTGAGCATATCTCATTTTTGGTCGATCCTAAGTATACCGTCATTTTTCAGACTCCTGAAAGTTAAAAAATACTTGCCAGTGGTATAAATTTTTTTGACAGCAATAAAAAGAAAATTTATTTTATTACTTTGGTGGCAAACTCGTGACAACAATGATGATAATAATTACTGAATTGATAGCCAAGAGCATCGACTAACACCTTATAAGGCTCATATTAGACGGCTGGAACAAGGGTCTGCTGCAAAAGGCAGTTCTCGGCACGGCACGTATACTGAGGAGATTCCTGTCTTCATAGCCTTAAACCACCCGGTGTCAGTATTTAAAGTGTATACTGTTTTTGGATTTTAGACATTGGATTTTTGACCAGGTTTCTTCTCTCATATTTCTGTCCTGTGCTATGTCTTTCAATACTCTTTTTTAATGAAATTGAAAGAAGTATAAAAGAGTTTTACATAGCTATTTACAATTAGTGATTATAGTGCATTTGAAAACCACTGAGGTTTGTAAACATTTATTAGAATTATAAAGTTATTACTGAACCAGAGATTGATAAAATGAATTGAGTGTTGTTTCAGAGATTTCTGTCCCAGATGCTGTTCATTACAGCACAGACATAAGAGCTCCGGCCTTTTCGAGTCAGCCCCTTATTTTTAAACCCCTTAACCTTCCCTCCCCTCTCGCCAAGTGATACTCTCAATGCAAGAGTGCGTAGTATACGATGATTGCATTATAATAACTCGTCTTTGTAATTAGCTGAGTGAGACAAAACATATGGTGCACTTTGTCTAATGACAAATGTCATTTTATACACCCACAGATAACACAAAATAGGAAACGTACAAGTACATCAAAAAGCTATGAAGCATGGTTACATGAATTTCTTTCGTCGTTGTCCGTTATTTTTGAAATGCCATTTTTTTATTTCGATAAACAATGTGTTGATGGTTTATACATATAAATTATAAAAATATGTTAATATATGTATACAATATTTATATGTAATGGTTAGTTGCGAGATGGGAATGTGAAAAAAATATAGGTTAATTATTCTGACAACCTGTGTATTACACATAAAAAAGGATTACCATAGCTTTTTACCGTCTATATAAATTAGTTGATAAAAATTATTTTATTTTATTTCAATATTTATATATTTTTTTCTTTTATAAAAGACAACTCCCGCATTAGGAATATATCCTGTGTCGCGGGTGACTTTACAAACATACATGAAACGGACACAAAGAACACCCAGACTCAGAACAACTATTTGTGGATCACACAAATAGTTACATTGACTTTATAATATACATTGTTAAATGATTTATAGTATTTCAAAATTATCACTTTTCTTTGAAGTTTATTTTGGGCAGGCATAGACAAATATCTACACAGCATAATTAACTTGAAGGCATACCAAAGATAATACAAACGCGCCTTTGTTTTGTTTTGATTCACGTCAAATGTTTGACAGCTGGGACAGGTGTGCTGTGACACGTTTTTCCTTTTAATAGGAACCTTCCTTGTCTCTTAACGAAAATATGAATAAAATTAGGCGACTTGGTTGAGTCGTTCTTGAGTTTGGCGATTTATTTTTCTTTATATAGATAGATGCCGTACGCCATATTTGTTTAAAAAAGAATAGTACACAGACTGTTTTTATTTCTTTCTTTTTATGGACACCCTTCCCTTTTCGCATCCATCCATGACCAAAATAGAAAAGTGCCTTAGTGTTCATGAGCGAGCGTGCTTGTGTGTATACGTACATGTCTGACCTATTAGCGGCCCCCCTAGACTTCCGACTCTTCGTGGCTGTCAGCACCACAGTGAACTGCATCAGAGACCACGACCAGATAGCCAGGGTGAGGAGTACTAACACTTTTTCTGAAGCTACCTTCTCATCTTTGAAGGAGTCGAAAAATTCTATGATGTCTGCCGCTGTGCCTACGAAGAAGAGTTTACAGTCAGAAAGAAAACTACTCTGAAATCATACTTAGGAAAGACAGAGATGACATTTTTGAAAATCCTATCTTAGTGGGTGCTTGCAGGCTCATCAACAGACATGATAAAATAAAATTAGCAGCAGTTTTCTTACCAATATACACCAGCAAGAGTTGGCTGAGCTGGTCCCTGGTGAGATCTCCCTTGGGCAACAACCATCGCCCGACTATGAGAGTCAACATCAGGAACTGTTCGATAAGAGTCACAAACGTATCTGTCTCCATTTTCGTTGCCACTGGGATTGGGATCTCCGTCTGGGTTGCAAGAAAGTAAAAAGATTTAATAATTAAATAATAATCTTCCGTGTGGTGGTGGTTCCTATTCATCCCGTGGGTGTCGTAAGAGCCGACTAAGGGTGCAAACTACGCAGAACAACAGCACTGCAGAGAGAAGGAAAACTTGACACAAACCCTATACCAACCCGTCTGGCCATCATGGTATAGTAGGCCAAAACCTCCTTTCTAAGGAGAGGCTTATGTCCAGTAGTGGACTATTAAAGACTGTTGATGATGATGATGATGATGAATTAATAATAGTGTCCGAACGAAACAGGTTTTTCAGCCGAAACCGAAACTCGAACTGAAACTAGATTTTTTGGCCGAAACCGAAACTTCGGTCGGTCACTAATACTAATAGTAGTACTTTAATAATAGTAATACTTATAATAGTTAAAACATGTACAAGGTGGATGAAGCAACTTTCAAAAATCATTCCAAAAAAATATATTTTTTTTGTTTTTTATAACCCTTCACTTTTCTGCAATCGGTAAGAGTTATTTCGTGAAAGGGGACGGAAGTATCTAACAGGAAGTCTAAGAAGCGCGCGCTATTTGATTTGACCAATGAGCGCGTGGCCCTAGAGTTGTCCGTCCGGTAGCTGAGATGTAACGTGTTACACAGCATATGCGACAAGTGTAAGCGTCGATCCATTGTTTTTTATTTTCATGAAAATTCATCAATAGTTTCTTTGAATAGGATATAACTGTTCTAAACTTATTTCTAAGCCCTTAAAATCACGTAACAGTAAAAATTATAACGTACATTATAATTTTTACAACACTTTCTGCTGACAGTTTTTTTCTTACTTTAACACGATTTTTGACTTTCTTCCAACAGTATACAAATGCAAATATCATAAAAATACGACTAAAATAAAAATTGTGGTGTGGTTTTATGAAACCAAGATGCAAGTGTAACTTATTTCAAGCTCGCAGACATTTAACTGAAAATTTTTGGAAAATTATTCGATTCAGGGTGTAAAAATCGCGTCCATCACGATCAAGTGCACAACAACATTTACATCAATACACTGATCAAAATACACAATGCTACACGGTCAGCTAATGAGAGCGCCGCCATATTGGCGATAGATGGACGAAAAAAATGGAGGCAATTTATACTCACTTCTTTAAACGTCATGTTTATCATCTTCTTGTCTAGCCTGACGTCCACCTTGTGTAGTTCGATGAGCCATATCGCGGGCACCACCAGGCCGAGGTAGATGAACACAGATGGACAGAACCTGACGACAATACATTTACTTATTAAAAACAATTACAGTGCCTTTACAGGATTTATCACAAAACGATACTGTAAGTAAAAACAGTAAGTAACAGTTATTTATACATAAAAATCATTTGCTGTAATACATCTCTGGGCGACTTCTTTGAAGTTCGGCAGGCTACAGTTGTAGATATCTACTTGTATTGAAATAATATTAATAAGCTTTATGGCGCGTGATATAGGAGCATATCGAAGTAAATTTCTTCGCGTTACAGGAACGCTGAGCGGAGGGGGCTGGCGGCGCGCACCCACGCACCCGTCAGGGGTGCACAGCCGCAAACTCGCCAATATGTCGGGTTGGTGCAGAGGACCGCGCAGCACGCGCCACACGTATGTCACCAGCGCCTCGCCTCACGCTCAGGCGCACGTACCCGACCATGCCGAGGACGAATAAGCTTGGGTACATGAGCGGGTATAGTGGGTACACCCCGTATTCTTTGTAATACAGAAATCGAGCGAACTTGTGTATATGGGTGTTAGTAGTTGACCGCGAGGAAGTGTCGGCATATATGGTCGGCTGGACTGATACCACGACCTCACAGGAAATCAGAAATCAGTGTTGAACAATCGCAAAATACAGAGTGCAACTGCAAAGTCTGCACGAGTGACGTAGTGGTCACTCGCCGCTTCCTACTTTTCTTTTTTTTTAAAGGCAACTCCCGCACTAGGAATAAATCCATCGTGATCTAGAAATTGTTGGTCTGGGTCTGGAAGTTCTTTGTGTCCGTTTCATGTTTGTTTGTGGAGTCACCGACACAGAATATGTTCCTAGAGTGGGAGTTGTCACAAAAAAAATGTGTTCGAGGCTTTTCACCAAGTTAGTGAGGTTACCTGAGGAGTCATCAGAAGGCCAAATCTCGTAATAAAAGTTCGGTCACAATTCAGTTCCGATCAACTTTCGATCTCACAGCTGTCATAAAAGGTATTTTCGTAATAAAGTATTAAACATCCAACGTTGACTGTAATGTGATTATATCGTATCGTAACCGAAAATTTAGTGATCCGGCAGAGAACCAAGGTCACCGACATAGCCTACCGGATCAGCAAGCTGAAGTGGCAGTGGGCTGGCCATATTAGCCGCAGAAACGACAACCGTTGGGGAAAACGAGTTCTTGAGTGGAGACCGCGTCTCGGCACACGTAGTGTAGGACGCCCACAGGCCAGGTGGAGTGACGATTTGCGCAAAATGGCTGGCAGGAGCTGGATGCGAGAAGCCCAAAATCGATCTAAGTGGCGTGCAATGGGAGAGGCCTATGTCCAGCAGTGGACTGCGATTGGCTGATAACGATGAACCGAAAACTGAATTGGTCATCTGCTAGTCTTAGTAATACTTTACTATTTTACTACGAAAATACCTTTTATGACAGTTGTGAGATCGAAAGTTGATCGAAACTGAATTGAGACCGAACTTTTATCACAAGAATTGGCCTTCAGATTTTATTGTTCTATTCATGTACCAGGTTAGAGTTCCTGGGATTCCACAGTATCAGTTTCTGAGGAAGTCTACCAAATATTTATCTGCAGCTATTATTCAGAACACCAAGAACAAAGTAAACATGTTTCCCTTAGATTGATTTTATCTTCGTCTTCATCGTGACCTATCGTCAGTTGAGACAAAAAGGCAGTGGAAAGGGAACGAGATAGGATTTTTTATCTTGTGGAAACTCCTATAGGTTATCATCAGGTATTTCACCAGTTTTCATGGTGAACTGAAATGTCAGAATCGAACTACTAAACGCACTCGGTGTTCCGTCCCATGTAAGTTTATTGCTTGGGAATCTGGTATACCTTAGGAGGTAAGTCCCCGAGAATCCTTCCAGACCTTGGTTGCCATCGATAGCGACTTGCACTGGGCCTTGCCCTTCTTCCGATCGAAATTTTGAAAGAAATCCGTAGAAAGAGATATAGACACTTTATTATAGATATAGACATTTATAGATAAATTATCTGGTAGACTCAGCGCAGCAGCGTACGCAGTTAGAAAAAATCGAGAATTGACTGATATTGATACAGAACGACTTGTTTACTTCAGTTATTTTCATAGCATAATGTCGTACGGTATTCTACTGTGGGGAAATGCTGCCGATATTCAAACTATTTTTGTGCTGCAAAAGAGATCGATTCGAGCACTTTATAATTTGGGCAATCGTTGTTCATTGAGGCAAAAATTTAAAGAAATAAACATAATGACAGTGGCAAGTCAATATATATGAAAATGTAATATATGTTCATAAAAACAAAGAGAGCTTCTTGAAAAGAAGTGCTGTACATGCTTTTAATACCAGAAATATAAATAAACTTATTGTATCTGCCTCGAGGCTCCAAAAGAAAAACAAGTCATTTCGAGGACAGTGCGTCTGATTTTATAATAAAATCCCTAATAGTATACAGGATTTTAGTATAAACAAATTTAAATCCACAATAAAACTTAAACTATGTCAGAAATTGTTGATTACATAGAAGACAAGAATGCTTGGGATTAATTTAGCACAGGCTATTTCGTAGTGGAAATTTTCCATTTTTCTGGTTAAAAATGATAAGATGGTAACACAATGAGTAGACAGAACGTTTTACCGAAAACCATTTAATAAATACCAAAAAACTGCAATGTAATTAATTAAGCAGCCAAAGTGCTCTGGAGCTCCCCTCCGGCCGCCATTTTGTGTTAGTGTGCGTAGACTGTGTGCAAAGAATACACATGTACATAGTTATTACTTATGTGCGATACCTACGGGGAATGACCTTAACCTGTGACAGATTGCATAAAAAGTTTAATTTACCGGCAGAAAATTCCGATGATTTTCGACTCAGAATGATGGTCTGAAAACACTATTTCAGTATTCGTTACGATGTCCCTTACACCCTGTATATCGGTGTGTTTAATTGCACACAAAAAAAAAATTAATTAAAAAAAAAATGAAACACCAAACAAAATTGTGTATTATTCACAAACTTAATTATCATATCATCTTGTTTAGAATTTCTGGTTCCAAATTACATTGGAATACCTAATAAGTTGTTGTATAAGACATATGTGAAACCTTTTTATTTTGGTATACCTACCTCTCTCGACAGATTTTGAAGAAAAAACTATACTTGGAGACATAAAATGGCGCCTCAAACCGGCCATTTTGATTTTTGTAATATTGTGATATATAGGGAAAAAGGAGAAACGGGAGTGACTTAAGAAAGAATTAATATAAAACACAAAATATGTATTTAAACTTTAAAAATCAACTCTAATGCTTGTTTAATTATTGCACTATCAGTTTCAGATAGTTTTGTTACCTTCAGAATAACAAATTTATAGCTATTAAACTTTAAAAAGAAATATCTTTGACCACCATTGTTCACGTCATCATCACTGAGGGGAAAATGAGTCAACCTATATTAACGACTAGCTGACCCGCGCAACTTCGTCTGCGTCTCTCAAGAGTAATAAATTTTCACGGTTTTTGAAACATTCTTCATTGCTGCTCCGCTCCTATTGGTCTTAGCGTGATGATATATAGCCTATAGCCTTCCTCGATAAATGGGCTATCTAACACTGAAAGAATTTTTCGAATCGGACCAGTAGTTCCTGAGATTAGCGCGTTCAAACAAACAAACAAACAAACAAACAAACAAACTCTTCAGCTTTATAATATTAGTATAGATTGTTGCATACGTAACCTTGCGGCAAATCCCACCCCTGGAAGTTTGCATGTCCATGCCATGCCCTCAACCCGTAATAAGTGTGTCTGTACCACAGAATAAATTTACACAGATTAACACTAACATCTAATTTTGAGGAATCTTTGTCAGCTGATATTTTACAGGATCCTGTATCGTAGCAAAGCAAAGCGTAGGCAAAATTGTGTGTAATTTAAAACTCTTCTGTTTATTGATATGCTGCATTCACGTAGGCCTCTCCTTAGAAAGGAGGTTTTGGCCTACTATACCACGCTGGCCAGACGGGTTGGCATAGGGTTTGTTTCAAGTTTTCCTTCTCTTTGCATTGCTGTTATTCTGCGTAGTTTGCTCCCTTAGTCGGCTCTTACGACACCCACGGGATGAATAGGGGTGGTGACACTCCGTATTCTTAATCCGTCACCACACGGACTATTGTTGCTATTGTGTGCATTACTTACTTGAACTGCTCTGATGCCTTAAAAATCTTAAGATATGCATTTTATTCGATCTGCTAGATCTTTTTCTATCTCTGCTATGATTGCAGATAGTCGACTAAGGAGTGGTTACTATGAATATTTTTGTTTTGACTGCTATTGGCAACTTAAAATGGGTATATACCCATTTTAAGTTGGCTTTAACAGCATTCCTCAAAGAGTGGCCTTGACTCATGAGTTCTTCTGCTTTTGATAGACAACCACTAAGCTTTATTTGTTAATATAGGCGTTAAACAATGACATTTAATAATATCACGCAATTTTCACATTGCTCTGACTCTCCCGATTACACCTAATGTGTAAGAAGTGAAAAGAAAAATATATTTTATCCCTAAAACACAAAGAATGTTTCTTAATTGATAATATAAGCTCACCGTCATCATCATTAACAGCCTATAATAGTCCACTGCTGGACATAGGCCTCTCCTTAGAAAGGAGGTTTTGGCAATAAAAGTGTGCGGCACCCTTAATTTGTGAATTATGGACGCATTTAAAAAAAGTAGCCTCTGCCCAATGCACGAATGGTTCCGAGCCATAAAAAAAAAATTGCATACTGACCCTTTTTGCCCCTTTTTCCCCTACCTAGAGTGACACTATGTCACTCTTACAATTTAAGACGAATCTAACAACAAAATTCATAATGAATTTTGTTGTTAGATTCGTCTTAAATTGTCCCTTTTGACTACAGAGCGTGCAAAATATACATACTCAAACTTGAAAAAACATAACCCTCCTTTAGCAGTCGGGTAAAAAATAAATAACAAAGTGTCTTTCCATATAATTTGATAGCAAATCCATTCCTAGATTGTGACGTTAGCCGTCCCTCATTAGGTGAGGTCAGAGGGCGCGGCAGGAAGTGTCTGCCGTCGAGTTGACTTAATGCTCGGAAAATCCCCGAGTCCTGGTTCGTCATTACATTAGTGTGTTGTCTATTTTTACACCCGTCTACGACTGTTTATTTTAAGGGTAGACGAGCAGACCTGATGGTAAGTTGCTACCGCAGCCCACAGACACCTGCAATTCAAGAATCACAAGAGCGTTGCCGTCATTTGAGTGCCCCCCCACAATCAGGGTGGGTGGAATGGAGGGAGGGGTGATCTCATTCACTCTCAAAATCGGTTTTCTGTGAGGCTGTGGTGTCACTCCGGTCGAGCCTGGTCCATTTGTGTCGAAACGTAACTTTCCTGGGTTAATCTGTCTGTGTTAGACTAAT